AGAATTAAAATGAAAAAGGTTTATCAGATTCTATTAAGTGGTCGCTGAGATAACTTCATTCAAAGTTTCAAAAGTCTAACTAAATAGAAGCTATGCCAAAATTATTTTGAACTTTGAATGAAAATATCTCAGCAACCACCTAAAAGAATTTGATAAAATTTTTTTTTTATTTTAATTCTATGAATCAGTAGAATTAAAATAAAAAAATTTCATTTAATTCTATTATGTGGTTGCTGAGATATCTTCGTTTAAAGTTCAAAATAATTTCAATGCAGCATCGATTTAGTTGGATGTTTAAAACTTTGAATGAAGATATCTCAGCAACCACCTAATAGAATTAAATGAATTTTTTTTTTATTTCAATCTTACTGGTTATTAGAATTAAAATGAAAAGATTTATCAGATTCTATTAAGTGGTCGCTGAGATAACTTTGTTCAAAGTTTCAAAAGTCTAACTAAATAGAAGCTACGCCAAAATTATTTTGAACTTTGAACGAAGGTATCTCAGTAACCACCTAATAGAATTAAATGAATTTTTTTTTATTTCAATCTTACTGGTTATTAGAATTAAAATGAAAAGGTTTTATCAGATTCTATTAAGTGGTTGCTGAGATAACTTCGTTCAAAGTTTCAAAAGTCTAACTGAATAGAAGCCGTGCTGAAATTATTTTGAACTTTGAACGAAGATATCTCAGTAACCACCTAATAGAATTCGATAAAAAAATTTTTATTTTAATCTTACTAAGTATTAGAATTAAAATGAAAAGGTTTTATCAGATTCTATTAAGTGGTCACTGAGATAACTTCATTCAAAGTTTCAAAAGTCTAAATGAATAGAAGCTGCGCCAAAATTATTTTAAACTTTGAACGAAGATATCTCAGTAACTACCTAATAGAATTCGATAAATTTTTTTTTATTTTAATTCTATGACTCAGTAGAATTAAAATAAAAAAATTTCATTTAATTCTATTATGTGGTTGCTGAGATATCTTCGTTCAAAGTTCAAAAAAATTTGGCGCAGCATCGATCTAGTTGGATGTTTAAAACTTTGAACGAAGATATCTCAGCAACCACCTAATAGATTTCAATGGAATTTTTTTTTATTTCAATTCTACTGATTATTAGAATTAAAGTGAGAAATTTTTACCGGATTCTATTAAGTGGTTGCTGAGATATCTTCATTCAAAGTTTTAACTAAATTGATGCTACGCCGAAGGCATCTCAGCAATCACATTTCTTAAATTATTTATTTTTTATATGTTCATTGAAATGCAAAATCATTAATAAATTGAACTTTATAGGAATTTAAATATACGCAGGTAAGCATTAATTATTTATATTACTTCCTTATTCACCCTTTTGATTTAAAATGCTTTATTTATTTTTTATTTATTCTATATAGATCTGTCTATTTATCACCTTGGCCCTGTGAGACCGCTTTGCCTACCCATATTCATTCATCATTCTAGCCCATAGGGCTGCTTTGCCTGCCCATCCACCCAGCTGGTACTAGCAATTTATTTTTTTATTTATTGTTTTGGCCTATGGGACTGCTTCGCCTACCTACCCACTTAGCTGACAATTTTTTTAATTATTTATACTTAAATGATCAAATTGTAAGAAAAAAGAATCTATGGAGGCTCCTAACATCGAAACAAAAACCTCTGTCCTCTTAATATTTCCACTCGAAACAGTATGCCAATATTTGTCTCGTACCCTCTCATTTAGTTCATTCATGGCAAGTTTCAAACTTTTTTCTTTTTTTTGTTGTTCAGTTTTTGCAATTTCTTCAACCACCAATTCACGATGTTTGTAAACTTTATACCCGCTTTCCTTAAACATCTCCTGGAATGTTCTCCATATATCAGTGGTCAGTAATTTTGTGGCACTATATATATGTTTATAGAAAATATATCTACAAGGTAACAAGTACCGATTGTAAAATAGGCAGTGGCAATCAAGCGAAGTTAAACCCGGATTGCTTTTTCCTTTTTCAAGTCTACTCATTACGGAGCAGGCTTCCTTCACTAATAATTGTTGAAAAGGGTAAGGAAACTTGTGAATTTCCTCAAGAATATCACTCGCTATGCCATATACAGATATCTTTTTAATACGAAAGTTGAAAGCAGCAGCTTCAAAATCAGTTCACCTTTTATTATTCAGAGCAACAGTATGGTGCATCGTGCCTAAAATAAAGTAGAAATTTTTAATAGTATTTCAAAATTGTGGGCAAAATTTCTCAAGATTCAGTGATTGAATTCGGATGATTTTTGCAAAATCATCCGAATTCAATCACTGGATCTTGAGAAATTTTGCTCACTTTTTTTAAAAATAGTCTAT